GAATGAGTGGCAGCGAAGCTAGAGGGATGTAGAGGAGTTGTAGAAGGATAAATCAACAACTCGAAAGCAATATATGGTCGGAGCACCACTCGACCCTTGGAAGCTAATCGCCACCTTGAAGCAAGATATAATCGAAGCGTCACTCATCCTTGGATACAACCCTAGAAGGGGACCAGAGATGCTAGCAACTTTCCTGAACAGAACCACGAAAAAAAAATGAAATAAAGTATGAAAACATCATACTTATAGCCATAAGGGGGTAACTAAGGAGTTGCCCCTAGTGTAACCTCACTGTTGCAAAGAGATGGCAGACCCAAAAGGAAGGGTTTGCTAACTCTCATGAATGGGCGGAACGGTCGCTTCACTCCCGCCTCACACGCGGGACGCAACATCAGTCTCCTGTGGTTGTGAGAGCTTCAACCACATTCGTCGAAGCTTCTGTCAACACGAAAGTGACGGAACTGCTGTAACATTGCGAGGTTGAATGATCTTTGACTGAGGCTCGAAGAGCACCTAGATTCCAATATCGACCGCACTGTCCCCCAAAACACTTGAGCATACATCCATTTTAGTCGAACCTTCAAAGGGTACATTGTTGAACTGATTCGGGGCAAGGTAACCCGAGGTTAACTTAACCTGATCTAATGTGAGGACAACTTGAACATCCCCTAACAGTGGCAGTCACAGTAGTAAGCTATCGAATAGAATGTCCTAAAAATTTCTTTGTAATGGTTGCCTCATGTTTGAAACCTGTTCTCCTGTCTTGTTATCTTATGCTATGACCAAGACTGATCTTACTGGAGCTTCTTTGTTGGCAAGGACACTTGTAATCTCAGACTCTGCAGAATGTAGAATAACTATGTGCTTGCCAGTTTTGGAGAATGATTAGATGTTCTGAATCCGACATGCTTAGTCTTACGATCAAGCTGCCACGATCTCCCCAACAAAAGTTGACATACATACACTGGCACCATGTCACACCATATCTAATCCTACAACTGGTTTCTGATTGAAAACTCCACGAGACACCTCTTGTCAATTCTGACTCTGCTATTCTTCTTCAACCATGTCAGTAAATACGATTGATAATTTCTCTGACTCATGAGATTCAATTTGTCCACCATTTGCACAAAAGACACGTCTTGTTGTACCCTCCATCAATGATGAGACTGCATAAATTCCTTTCACATTGCAACATGTCTAGAATATATTGCGGTGAAGCCACTGCTGCTCCCTCATAGCCTCAATTTGGAGGACTTGTCTAACCACAAACATCTTCTATGCATCCAGTGGAAGATGGTATTCCTCATCCTGATTTTCAGCTATCTATCCTTTGCTTACTTCCTCCACTGCACACTGCTAGGTGAAGACATGACTTGCCTTGTCAGGTAACTGGAAACAATGTGTCCAAAACCATGACACCTGAAGCTTTTCATGGCTAAGAATAGGGGTACTGCTCTTCTCAAACTTCTTTTTACCCTAGGCAACTCTATCATTTTTCTGATCAGACTTCTTAATTTCCTTAGGTGTGCTCCTATTGACATGTCCAACTATGGGTGACTTGACTGAATGACAATGGGGGTTTGCTCTGCTTTTGTTGTTTCTCCACCTTCAATTCTAAGGTCTGAACGTCACTCAAAGACTAGAAAGACTATAGCTGAACCACATTTATGATGGCGGGCTTTAGACCTCCCAAGTACCTGACACTATCGTGTGCTCTCTGGTTTTAGCTCCGACTTTGTTAGATCACATTTCAGCTTAAGTTGCATAAACTTCTTTGTCTACTCCTCCGTTGATAAATCCCTCTGTTGCATATGGTGGAGCCTCAATAAAAATTCCTAACGATAATGTGGGGGTAGGTGTCGTCGCTGCAACTCTCTTTCATCTTCTCCCAGGTAAAAATCATGTTTCTTACTTCTCTATTTCTCTCTTTGTCCAGGTTCTCCCATTACAATAAGACACTCTTCTTCAGTTTGATCGGAACAAACTTCACTTTCCGATCATTTGACACATAATTGTATTCAAAAACTCTTTCAATGGTATAAAGCCACTCTATGAAGTCATCTTGGTTCATTTTACTCTTGAAATGTAGCCTGTTCATTTTTACTCCCGAGTTTCTGAATCCTCCAATAAGCACTTCATTTCTATATCCTTCAACAGACACTTCATCTCTCGGCCTTCTTTAATATTGTATCCAAAAGCATTGTAGCTTGCATTCTTCTCCATTGGAATCATTCCTACGGAAGGGATCAAGTGTTCTCTCTCTCCACGTCAGATCTCACTACCAACCTTCACAGTGACCTTTCTTTCTCAACAAAAATAAACTTTTGATCGACATCTGACACTTGCTCCTCGACAATATGATTAGGATTTGGGTGTATAGGTGATGTTAGGTGGAAAAGATTTTTTTAAAAAATTTTATTTGATTTTTTGTTTTTTTTGTCAGCTGATTTGGGTTTAGGGTGGGGTTTGGGCTGGATATTGGTGGATTTGGATGACCCTATGATAGGACTAGTGTTAGGCTAGCTCTGATACCAAACGATACCAGAGTTAACCGAAATAACAGTATGCAAACACATATTATTATTGAGAAAGCCAATATACGAATACAACCAACACAAGGAAAGGAAAAAACAACAGACACAACACTCAACTAGGTTTGTAACCCACAAGGGAGGTGGTCGGTTGGTGTTTTGAAAGGTTCGATGGTGGGGTGGTAGTAAGCGAGCGATGGTGGCAGCAAAGAGACTGTGAGAAACTGCCTGAGCAACGAGAAGGGAGGTTGTTCTGGGCTATGGTGGCAAGGATAAGGGGCTAGACAACAATAAGGTCGCACAGGAAATGGTTTTGGCAGCTGGAACAACATCGAAACAGGCGGGAATGTCTGTTCAATGTGACAGTAGGGAGGGGGAATGGTGGCAATAGCGTCAGGGAATGTGTGGGACTGTGGAATAAGAAAAAGAGGTTGTCCTGAGGGTGCGACAACGTGGAGGATGACTGAATAGCAAGGAATTGCAGGAAGGAAAGCAAAAGGCTGCTGTCTGGGTAGCCTGCAACGAGTAATAATGTGTGGAAGCGAAGTGCAGAGGAGTTGGAGAAGAATAGAACACCAGCTCATGAGCAATATAAAGTTGGAGCACCAGTCAACCCTTGGAAATTAATCACCACCTTGGAACGAGAGTCAGTCGGAGCACCACTCGCCCTTGAATACAACCCTAGAAGGGGAAATAGGGACGCCGACGATTTTCCTGAACAAAAGCACAACAAAAGCTGACCTAAAATATGAAAAAGTTGTACTTATAGCCCTAGGGTAACTAAGGAGTGGCCCCATTATTTCTTAGAGGCGGCAAAAACCCTAAAGGAAGGGCTGACTGACTTTCACGGATGGAAAAAACACTGCGCTCCAGGTAATAGGCAGAGTGGTCACTCTGCTCCCGCGCCACACTCGGGATGCCTAGCGTCATTAGGTGTGAGATATGCAAGTACATAAGAATTCTCTGCTACACATGTAAAATTCCCTTTAAACTATCCCATCTTACAATCATCTTTCGATGTTCGCTTAACTCACAATGAATTTATCATTTTTGTATGTTCTTACATTCATCTTATTACTTGCGTTGCAATTAGGTTTGCGGTGAAATTTCTTCCTATGATCAGCAACTTGAAAACTTACCAATATATTTATCACCTTCAAACATAATTGTTATGTTAGAAGAAATTAATTCCTTACTTCATGGCTAGCATGCAATGCCCTCATCTTCTGATTTGTCACTTGATTAGTAATTCTTCTTACTTTCATAGTCCTTAAAATTAAATTTATTCTTCTAAGTTCATTTGTTCATCGAGTACTTCTACTACTTTTAAAGGCTATTTACATTATTTTTTTGGGGCATTTACATACGCAACACACAATTTTTTTATGTTTGCACAGCTCACTCCTAAACTTTTATATTTTCTCACATAATCCTCAAATTTTCAGCATCATATAAAAAATATCACTATTACCGTTTTTTAAAACTATGTATGTAAATATGAAAGTTTAGGCATGAAATATATAAATACATAAGAATTTCATGCTACATATATAAATTTCATTTTTTTCTTATTGTTGTTGAACGTTATGTTTTCTATATATTATGTGGTTTCTAGATAATATAGCGCTGAAAACAATAATTGCAGAATAGCCTATCATGCCAACAATTTATTTATTTATTTATTAATCTTTTTTGTCTTTCCACGCAGGATAAAAAAGGGTGGTCCAAATCCATCTTCCAACACTGTTCTTGCTGCTGTTTTAGAGAAAGCCAGAGAACTTGAAGTACCCAAAGAAATAGTTGAGAGGAACATAAAAAGGGCTTCTGAAAAGGGTCAGGAAGCATTTATTGAGAAATTTTATGAGGTGGATATCTAGATTTGATTTGATGGTTTAACATGTTATATGGCAGTTCAAACTTTGTAATAATTATATTTTGAGAACTTTACATACCATAATATTTCTTATGGATTTACATATCTAACATTTAATTTTTGATATTTACATTTATAACATCTTGGTCCTATGGATCTGTGCATTAAAAGGGGCATTTGGCTTTTAAAAAGTTAGTAAAAGTGATATTTTTGATGCAATGTTAAAGATTTGAGTGTTATGAATATAAATATTAAGGGAATTTACATATGTAGCATACAATTCTTATGTATTTTCATATCTCATTCCAAAACTTCCATATTTACATGCTGACCTCTTTGGTGCTTTAAACATATGCATTAAAAGGGGTAAAACTGTTAGTTTTGACGTGATATTAAAAATTTGAGTGCTATGTTCGTAAATATGAAAGCTTACGTTTGAGATGTGCAAATACATAAGTATTTTGTGGTATAAATGCTCCTTATATTTTAACTCATTGTTCAGGTATATGGCTTTGGTGGTGTTGGCATGGTGGTTGAGGTTTTAACGGACAAAATAACACGTTCGGTGGCTGATGTTCGAGGTGTGGTAAAGGACAGTGGAGCGAAGCTCGCTGACCCAGGATCTATTCTATTCAAGTTTAGGCGAGTTCGAGTCGTTAACGTAAAGGTTAACGATAACGAAAAAGACCAGGTTCTTGCTATTGCTTTAGATGCAGGAGCTGAAGATGTCATCGAACCAAATTTTGATGAGGAAGATGATTCAGAATATAATTCAGACAGGTCCACAACAACTCAAACTATTCTTCCATCATGTTTACTTAGCTTTTAGGAAATTTTACATGCATACCACATAATTCTTATGTCTTTACATATCTGACTCCCAAAGTTTTATATTTACACTTACAACTCTTTGATGTCATTAATTTATGCATGAAAGGTTTATTTCACTTTTAAACAGATAGTGATGTGGTATGCGTGTAAATACGAGTGTTTAGATGTTTGATATGTAAATACATAAGAATTGTGTGGTATGTATGTAAATGCTCCTATATATTATACTTTAACAGGACACAATTTTATTATTATCATAGCCTTATCCCAACTATATGGAGTTGGCTTAACAAATTACAATTTACATAAATAATCGTTTTACTTGTTAATTAGCATGAGTAAATTCATTTGATGAAACTATCAATGGTACGTTATTTCACATGGATATTTAAAATCTAGGAAGATTTAGATACATAACACTTAACACTCAATTCTTCTGAATTTACATAAACTTCAATTTTTACATACATACCACCCTACCTATGCATGAAAAAGGTGCATTTCACATTCTTAAAGTTAAAATGGATGTATTTTTTATGTGATATGGAAGATTTGGGTGGTTTAAATGTAAAAAACTTAAGTTTAGGTGTTAGATATGTAAATACTTAGAAATTGGGTTTTTGATGTGATATGGTATTTTTTTATATGATGTCAAAGATTTGCATGTTATGTATTTAAATATGAAAGTTTAGATGTTAGATATGTAAATATATAAGATTTGTGTGGTATGTATGTAAATTTCTCAAACAAAAAGTAAAAAACATGCAAAAAATACATCAAACAAACATGTTTACCAAAAGCAAAAAATAAAAATAAATTTGATCCTAAATATGCTCTTAATTACTTTGAAATTTTTCATTACATTTTTACCCTCTTCTGCAAACACTCTCACCCCTGTAATTATTTCTACAGCTATTACAAGATTGTCGTCTCTGCAGAAAACTATTCTGATATACTATCAAAGCTAAGAGATGCAGCAATAGCTTATGAACCAGATAACGGCTATGAGCTCTTGCCACTAAATCCCATTGAGGTATTTCATCATTTCCTGCAATATATGTTCTTTTCATTACATTGTTGATATAAATTAAGGAAGTATTTACATGCATACCCCACAGTTCTTTTGTTTTTACATATCCAACCACAACTAAACTTCCATATTTACAAACATAACATCCAAATTTTTAACATTACATAAAACATACCACCGTTGCTTACTTATTAAAAGTGAAATACTCCTTTTTATGCATGTGTTTATGACATCCAAGTGTTAAAAATGTAAATATAGAAGTTTAGATAAATAAATACATAAGAATTGTGTGGTGTGTATGTAAAGTTCCCAACACATCCATTTCATCTTTTGCGCCACTTATTAAATTGATTTGATATAATTTAATGGCATGTTAAACTATTTTTTTTGTAATTTCTATTTGCATTAAACTTTTGCATTATTTAATTCCAAATCATTATTTTGCATGTTAAGGCTTTTTGTTTTGTTATTTTTGAACAGGTAGATGATGAAGCCATGGATTTAAACAAGGAACTAATGTCTAAGCTGCTTGAACTTGATGATGTTGATGCTGTCTACACTGATCAGAAGTGAATCTATTTGATTTGACAAGTAGCAGCAGCATTCTTCTTTTCCCTTTTTCTTTATTTTACATTTACATATCTACCACTCAATTTATATTTTGTTTACATATCTACCACCTAACCTTTGTTTTTTATATTTATGCCACACAAATGTTTCACATCATGTAAAATATACCTACCACTGTTTTAACTTTTAAAAAGTGAAATAGATCTTTTTCATGCACGAGCAAGATGACATATTTGTAAAAAAAGTAATGTTTAATTGTTAGGTATGTAAATACATAGGAATTTAGGGGCATGTATGCATGAAAATTTTCCATACCACCCAATTCTGTATTTAAATATCCATAAAAAGGTGTATTTAAGTTTTAAAAAGTAAGTAGATAGAATTTTTGATATGATGTTATAGATGTGAGTTTTGCATAACTAAATGTGAAAGTTTAGGTGTTAGATACGTAAATACATAAAAACTGTGTGGTATGTATGTAAATGTTTCATAATTTTGATGTCTTGGCATTCAAATATAAGATTCAAGCCTTCTGTCAATCATTTGATCCTCAATGGATGGATTTGATTGCATGAGAATATAAGCATAGTTTTAAGCTGGAAGATTTCCATACATACCGCTCAATTCTTATGTAATTACATGCTAACATCTGACCTTCAATTTTTAGATGCATGCTATCTTACATATGTATGAAAATGAGGTTTATTTTGGATGTGATAAGGAAGATTTGGATGGTATAAATGTTGCGAGTAAACTTTAGGTATTAGATATGTAAATACAAAAGGATTAGGGGTATGTATGCAAATGTCCTTTTTTTAGTATGCAGTCATTCAGTTGGTCTGAAATTAAAGATATTATATTTTTAGTCTTTTTTTTTTACAAATTTTAAGTTTTTTTTTAATAGTTTTGATTGCTTTAGTTCTTGATAAAACTGGAATTTCAAGGTTTCTTCTGTAAATTGTCCAATCATCCTTAGATTTCTAGAAAGCTGATGAAATCCAAGTCATTTGGTAATTTTAATTCCTTACAATGATTGGATGTTGAGATTAAAGACCATTAAGGGCCCGTTAGGGGCACTTATTTGGTGCGGTGGCGTTTTGAAAATGCATTTGACTTGTTTGGGCAAGCTATATCTCTTGACAGTTTATGCGTTTTCAAAACCCTGAAAACAACATCAGTCTAGCTTTTCTGAAAAAAAAATAAAAATTTATAATAGCCAATGCACTAAACTTATCAGCAAATTATTTTTAATCACTTTATTAACATATTATTCAATAAACTGCAGCTGCCCCAAACAGACCCTAAACCAAATGCTCATTCTTATAACAGTTAAAGTGGAAATCCATAAACCATAAATATATATTTTCTTGGGTAATTTACATACGTACTTTTATTCTTTTATGTATTTACATATGTAACAACCAGAGTTTGATATTTACACTTATAACGCTATAGTGTCATGATTTGCAAATTAATTTTGTGACGAGCCAAAAATATTTTGGGCTACACTAATAAGTGATAACATAGATCTCTTCTATCTTGCCCCCTCCCTGGGTCTTTGACCGAGGCTATTATACGAGCATCTCGATCAACCTCACGTGCTTATCTTATATAAGCAAAATCATACCCAATCATTTTAAAGCAAATGTTTGATCAAAATTTGGTTAGAACATCTTCAATTGAATTATTCCTTTTTTTTTTTTCTTCAAATGTAATTGCATAACTATTTTGATTAATTAATTATGTACTTATTTTTTAATTCCTTGTTAGAACTTTTCATTTACATTTAAAATAATAAAAAAAGAGATAATTTTTTTTAAACAATATTCTACATTTCTATTCATAAATTCACAATAATTTAAGAAAATATTCGAGTTCTAATCCGAACATCGTATTTATTCACAACATTCCATCAAAATAACGAGTCCATCTGTCAAAGTGGTCAAAGAGACAATTATCTTATATGATATTGCCAATCTTTATTTACGGCGTTGTTTTTCACGTGCATCACAGTTTTTTCACCAAGGCATTGCGATCGACAAAAGACAGCACAAAAATTAATTCTACATTATTTTTCTCTTATGTATGAAAATGTGTTCAAAAGGAGGTTTGTAGGAGCATCGATGATATAAAAGAAAATAACCTTTGGGGCTTCGAATGACGATAGCGGATGATCGTGTCATGCTCGAACGTAAATCCATTCTCCGAGCTAGGGCTGTCAATTTGGCTCGTTGTTCGTGAACAGCTCGTGTTCGGCTCGTT